GCTGATTCTCAAACCCCCCCTTTGCTATCCCCCCCTTTCGCCTGACCCGAGTCTCAGATGACAGCCTCCTTCGATCAAGACGAGGATCTCCGAGGGCGAGACATTTCGAGGATCGAAGGAGCTTGCCATCTCAGATGGCAACCTCTTGCGATCCTCGAAGGCGGGGCCCTCCTCTGTCGGGTATAGCCAGTACCTCAGGTAAGGGGACCCGGCTACCTAGTGGTAAGGCCCTGGAGCCCCTAAATTGGCCAGCATCACCAAACCAGGTTTGCTGTAGCCTGTGCCTTTTCGGGTGACGGCAGTTCCGGTTAGTGGAACGGGGCGGGGGGGCGCCCCCCAGTACACATCACTAAACCAGGTCCCACTAAACCCAGTTCTGCCAACGCCCGACTCAATTTCAGGAGGAATAAAAACACACAGACACAATTGATCGTCGATTCCCCAGAAAATAGAGGAAAATATGGGAAGTGGGGGGGGGAGACAAAAACCAAAAAAATATTAGAAAAATAAGGAATATGCTTAAATGTGTGTGTGTTTATTTGTGTGTCCTGGGCCCCTTCACTGTTGCGCCCCAGGAGCTGCAGCATCCCCGTGGTGCAGGCTGTGTGGTGCAAAGCCCTCCTGCGGTGGCAGCTGGCGGGCGGGGGCCGCTCTAGAGTATGGCCCCTGGCCAGGACGCGCCACGGTCAGGGGCCCCCAAACGGGGTGGTAACCGCACCGTGCGGTGAGCCGGTGGGGATTCTCGGGCCGGACGAAAGGGGGGGATAGCAAAGGAGGGGGGTTGAGAATCAGCTCACGTAGCTGATTTTCCCGGCGCCTCCCGGCGCCAGAGGCGGCCATGTATCGAGGAATCGGCCCCTCGGTGAGGCCGAATCCAGCTGCATGCCGCAAATTTCTTAACCCCCTTTCCCAATCCCCCCCTTTCGCCCGGCCCGGTCACCGCACCGTTTTGGGGCTCGAGGCTCGAGGCCTTCTCCGAGGACGTCTCGGGCGGCCGGGGGCCTCCGGGGTCCCAAGACCGTGCGGTGACGGACCGTGCGGTGAGGTCTTGGGGGATTTCGAGGTCACCGCACGGTCTGTCACCGCACCGTTTCGGGACTCCAACACACAGTGGGGCATGCCCGGGGCCGATCCTTGGACCCCCGAGGGAGGCTTTTCTCCCCGGCTGATACCGGACGGGGCTGAGGTGAGGTCGGGCCTGCCCCTCCTCTGCAGGGGGAATGCTCAGAAACAGTCAAAACCAGTCTGGGGACGATTTGTGGGTGATTTTTGCTTGTGTTTTGAATGTGCCGTGGCTATGTTTTGCTTTTCGTCGAAAATCCGCCTGTAGGAGGACATTCAGGAGGAGAAAGAACACACAGACACAATTAATCCTCGATTCCCCAGAAACTATGGGAAAATATGGGAAGTGGGGGGGAAGACAGAAGTCCAGAAAACATAGGAAAATATGGAGCATATTTTTATTTGTGTGCATTTACTTGTGTGTCCCAGTTCCCCGTAGTTTTGTTTTTCGTCGAAAATCCGCCTGTAGGAGGACATGCCCGACCTCAGGCTGAGGACGAGGGTGACATCCGTTCCCGAGCGTGCCGGCTCGTCCTGGCGTGGGCCTGCGGGTGTGGCGCGGGCCAGGCGCCGCGAGGGGGGGAGAAACCCACAGACGCAATGAATCGTCGATTCCCCCAGAAATGTTACGGTAGGTTCGCGTCGTGTCGACCAGCGGCGACCCCGGCGCCAGCGTTCAACCTTGAACGCCGCAAGCGACCCAGAATCGGTCGATGTTGAACGATCGGACGTTGCGGAAACAGCCGATCGTTCAAGGTTGAACGGTCACCGCTGTGTCAGAAACCCTTGCCGGGTCGTCACGACACGAACCTGCCGTAGAAAATATGGGCAGTGGGGAGGAAGACAGAAACCCAGAAAATATAAGAAAATATGGGGCACCTTTTTAGTCGTGTGTATTTCTTTGTGTGTGTGTCCCAGGGCCCCTTCAGACACCCTGACACTCCGAGGAGGGCAAATGAATCGTCGATTCCCTCGGAAATGTTAAAACCATATGGGCAGTGGGGAGGACGACAGAAACCCAGAAAATGTAGGAAAATAGGGGGCACCCTTTTATTCGTGTGTCTTTCTTTGTGTGTCCCGGGGCCCCTTCAGACACCCTGGCACTCCGAGGAGGGCAAAAGGTACCCCATACATCGAGCAGCGGCGAAGCTACGAGGAGGAAGCGGTACCCATAGCTCTACCCTTTCCTCGCGTTCCCCTTTTGGGGGCCTCCTCGGAGGCCCTCGTCGCCACCGCTGGATTCGCCTCGTGATCCTGGTCAGAACGCACCCCGGGAGAGGTCTGGGGAGTAGCGGGATCGTATCCTGCTTGCTTCTCCAAAGAAGGGTCTAAGAACCCTTTTGTGGTCTGCACGAAGTGTTCTTAGAACATGCCTGGCTGAGACTGTCTTGTTGTAACAAATCGGGCGCATGTTCTAGGAGCATTCTTTCTGTTCTGAAGGCATCTCTGGGTTCTAACAACACGTAGTGCTAGGCATATAGGAATGCAGGGATTGACGGTCCCTGCTCAAATCAATACCTCTACCCTCCCCTCGTTTTCCCTTCTTTCGGCCTCCTGGGCCTCCGTCGTCGCCACCGCTGGATCCGCTTCGAAATCCCAGTCAGAACGCCCCCCAGGAGAGGTCTGGGGAGCAACGGTGTCGGTACATGTTCGGTTTCCCCAGACACCCCCATCTGATTCGTTTGGAGCGCTTTTCCGTCGCAGCTCAGTATCGCTTAACCGACCCCTATCCCCATCCCCATCTCCATCCAGACCCCCAACATCTCAGCACCCCAGTTAGGGATATACCCGTCGAAACACAAAGGAGACGGCCGATATCCCCATCTAGGGCATTAAGTCGGCCAGTGGGGCCCAGGCCACGATGGTGGGGATGGGGGCTAGTTGAACGTTGCTCAGCAGCGCTGCAAAGGCAATCCGCACGCGCGCTCCAGTAGCCTGTGGCGCACGGCGTACAAATTATCCGGCTGCAAGAGAAGGACATGCGGAGAGGGGCGGCCGCGAAGGACAGGAGGGGGAGGAGGTCGATGATCCTCAGGACGTGTGTCAGCCCAATGTGTGTGTGTGTGTTACCCCCTTCAGCCCAACCAGTAGATCATTACATCGCCTGCGTCGTATCGAAGGGCCTCGATGGACAAACACACGTTGAGGCTAACACACGGTCTGAGGATCATCGAGGAGAGCACTCACCACGGAAAGAATTTCAGGAGGAGCGCGCCGTTGCGGCCAGCCGGGAGCCTTGTGTGCAAACACCGATTTGAGAAAATCTGGACTTTCTGACATTTGAGGCTGTCGGGCACGGATGGAGGGCCAGTGGCTTTCACAGTGCGGTTCTCGCCATGGTGCCGCGTACAGTTTTTCTGCGTCCTACAGCAACAAGGATGGTTGCCGGCTCGTTTTCGAAATGCGTCTCTCGCTGCAGACGCCCTCAATAAAGATTGTGGTCCGAAGTTCCCAAACTGTGCAACAGTCACACAGGCGGAGGGCGACATCTTTCTTCAACAGGGCCCTCGATTCAGACAATCGCCGGTTTTCTTTAAGGAGTTCTATACATGTGCAAACAGCTTTCGCGGATGGACGTCAGGTCCTTCTCGATGCGGGGCTATCATTGGCGTGGTCTACTTCCCTGCAGTATATATATATATACATATATACATATATATGTATGTATGTATGTATGTATGTATGTATGTATGTATGTATGTATGTATGTATGTATGTACGTATGTATATATGTACGTATGTATGTATGGATGTATGCATGTATGTATGTATGTATGTATGTAGGTATGTATGTATGTATGTGTGTATGTGTATGTATGTATGTATGTATGTATGTATGTATGTATGTATGTATGTATGTATGTATGTGTGTGTATGTATGTATGTATGTATGTATGTATGTATGTATGTATGTATGTATGTATGTGTGTATGTTTGTATGTATGTATGTATGTTTGTATGTATGTGTGTATGTGTGTGTATGTGTGTATGTATGTATGTATGTATGTATGTATGGATGGATGGATGGATGGATGTATGTATGTATGTATGTATGGATGTATGGATGTATGGATGTATGTATGTATGTATATATGTATGTGTGTGTATGTATGTATGTATGTATGTATGTATGTATGTATGTATGTATGTATGTATGTATGTATGTATATGTGAGGTGTTCCACAAAGTGCCTTGCCTTCGAGGATATATAGGATTATCATCTCTTCCTCGCGGAAGGCGGCGGAAGGCGGCGGAAGGTCGGCGGAAGTAAAACGAGGCCGCCTACGCTGGCGGAAGCCGGCGGAAACTCGGCGGAAGGCGGCAGAAGTAAAACGTGCGTCCCTAAGAGATGAAAACCTTTTTTGGGCACCGTTTTCGAAATCCGCCTTATATGTGAGTTGGATGTATGGACAGTGTTTCCCTAGCCTTCTCCGAAGCAAGAGAAATCTTCTCAGAAGGCGCCAGAGCTTCTGAGAATTCCCGCCGCCTTCTGAGAAGGCCGTCTCCTTCTCATTTCCCCCCCTCCCTGGTCGCCACCGATATGTGTGAGTTTTACGTACGGACTGTGGATCCTTTACCACACGAACCCCACCTCTGCCTGGCAGCCCCACGGGGCGTTTATTTTTGGTCCCTCAAGAGGGGGGGGGGGGGCTTCCCGCAGCGGGTGAAGAATAGGAGGAGGAGAAGGAGAAGGAGGAGGAGGGAGGAGAAGGAGGAGGAGGAGGGGGAGGAGGAGGGGGAGGAGGAGGGGGAGGAGGAGGGGGAGGAGAAGGAAAGGGAGGAGAAGGGGGAGGAGGAGGAGGAGGAGGAGGAGGAGGAGGAGGAGGAGGAGGAGGAGGAGGAGAAGGAAGAGGAGGAGGAGGAATCTGTGCATTGGCCTTGAACGGGAGGGTGTATTGCAGCAGCTTTGGTGCGTCGTGGGCTTCCTGTGGTCATCCTGTCGTATTGCTTGGTGGCTCCTCTGCGCTACGTCCTCATCCTCTTCATCCTCCTCAGTTGAAATTTGGCCCAGGCTGGCCGGGCCCCTGCCCTCCCACCCCACACGCATCCTGGCTCCCCGCGCATCGCACTGACGTCAAGCGACACCTCCCAGTTTGTTGCGGATGTTCGCCGCCGGAGGGGGTCGCCACACAGTTTTTCTTAGGAGCGATGGCATTGCAGTGGCCTGCGGCCTGAACAGCGAGGGCCAGTGCGACATCCCTGCGCTGGACGCGTCTCTGACCTACGCGCATGTTGCCACTGGACCTCGACATACAGCGCTGCTGAGAAGCGATGGAACCGCCGTGGCCTGCGGTCGGAATGCTTATGGCCAGTGCGACATCCCTGTGCTGGTCGCCGGCCTTGCCTACACGCAGGTTGCAGCTGGATCGCGCCACACAGTCCTGCTTAAGAGCGATGGCACAGTTGTGGCCTGCGGTTCGAACGGTGACGGTCAGTGCAGCATCCCTGCGCTGGTCGCCGATCTGACCTACACGCAGGTTTCCGCTGGAGTGCGCCACACAGCGCTTCTCAGGAGCGATGGAGTTGCCGTGGCTTGCGGCCTGAATCGTTACGGTCAGTGCGACCTCCTTGCGCTGGTCACCGATCTGACCTATACACGAGTTGCCGCTGGAATGCGCCACACGGTCCTGATCAGCAGCAGAGGCACCGCCGTGGCTTGCGGGTGGAATGGTGATGGTCAGTGCGACATTCCTGAGTTGGTGGATGGCTTAATTTACACGCAAGTTGCTGCTGGAGAGGGCCACACAGTGCTTCTCAGGAGTGATGGCACTGCCGTGGCCTGCGGCTTGAATGATCACGGTCAATGCGACCTCCCTTCGCTGGTTACGGAGTTGACCTACGTACAAATTGTCGCTGGGTTGCGACACTCAGTCCTACTTAGGAGCGATGGTACCGCCGTTGCATGCGGCCTGGATCGTGATGGTCCGTGCGACCTCCCTGCACTGGTGGCCGACCTCACTTACAGAGGTGACCTGTCTCAAAAGTGGGTTTCGCAGTCGTCACCCGACGGCGAGGGTATCGTCGCAGACGCGCCTGAGGCAGTCGAGCGGCCTGACTTCTCAGGCTCTTGGCAGTGCACCCGTGTGGAAGGCGACATGCCTGCGCTTCTTGTAGAAGTGGGCGTGTCGCATCTCATGCGCGAGGCAGCCAGGATCGCCCGATACGGAGCAGGACACCAGCTGCAAATGATCACTCAGGATGGCGACAATTTCACTGTGGTCGATCAGATGAAGACGACCGTCACAATGACGTGTCAAATTGGTCGTGGCCCCCAGGTATCTTGTGATTTGGAGGGCAGGCCAGTACACGTTACGCCGACGTGGGACGGTCAGACGCTCTGCATCGAAACGACAAATGAAAAGGGAGAGCTCTTTGCGACCAGCCGGCGGTTCTACGAGGGAGACGAGATGGTGTTGGAGCTCACGTCCCCCGCGGGCAACGTTACGAGACGCATCTTCATCCAACAAGGTTCGCCGAGGCCCACGCTGTCAATGAGGTCGATACGGCAAGCGGTAGGATCCTTCTAGATATGGACGGAGGCTACATTTCTGAGAGTGGAGGTAGCCCAAGTCACGACCAGGAGGGTGTGCGCGTGTGTGCTCCAGGCCCGTGCGCTGCAGCCACCAAGGCAGGGTCACTCGCGGCAGACTCCCGCCACACTGTTGCTAATTTCGGGAGGAAAAGAAACACACAGACACAATTAATCTTCGATTCCCCAGAAAATATGGGAAAAAATGGGAAGTGGGGGGAAGACAGAAGCCCAGAAAATATGGGAAAATAGTGGGGATCTGTTTATTTGTGTGCATTTATTTGTGTGTCCTGGGGCCCCTTCATAATTGCTTGCGTTAACGGGCGAAGACAGTACAAAAGACACTTTTTCGCTGTCGGGGGCGCCTGTCCCAGAGCGGCTGGCAAGCTTATACCTTGACGTGCCATCGCAAGGGCATAAACTTTCCAGCCGCCCTGGGACAGGCGCCCCCGACAGCGAAAAAGTGTAGGTGATGCCTTCCTTCGCCCGCTGATTGCGCCTTCCGCTGCTCGCAAAGTGCCTGCTCGCAAACGCCCGACAAAGCACGTGTCTGCTTCGATGCAATTGATCGAAGATCCCCCGCGGCGGATCCAGGCCATTTGCGAGCAGCTACTTTGCGAGTGTTCTGATGTTCCAACCTATTTTAGCCGTGACCAATACCGAAACTCGAGGGTTTTCGAAACCCGAGGGTTTTCGCGTGTCGGGCCCTGGGAGACGCTCGTCCGACATTGTTTCGACGCTGTTTCGACACCCTTTCGACACTCTTCTGGGTACTCGAAATTATTTTTGGGATGTGGCATGGGAGCACCGGGAACTATTTGGGGCTGTGAAATTATATTTGGGGTGGTAGCTGAGCCGCCCCTCCCCTTTTGAAACGGGGGGGAGGGGGGGGGGCAGCTTCCGGCAGGGGGGAGGAAAAATGGAGGGAAGGGGGGCGGGGGCTTCCGGCAGAGGGGGGTCAAAGGGGGGGGGGGTAGCTAAGCTCCCCTCCCCTTTCGAAATTATCTCGTGGAACGCGCTCGTCGATGATTGTGGGAGTGCCGGGACGCATCGCCTGGGGCCGCGGGCCAGTTGCTCGGGGGAGGCGCCTGGCCGCCTTCACCATAGGGGGGGAGCGCGGGGGGCCACCCGCGGAGAGGCCCTGCCCGCCCAGAGGCTTCGAGGCAAGCTGCTTCTGCCGAGAGGAGCGGCAGGGACATCTTCGATGCTCGCTTTGGGGACCTTACTGGGGCCCACCTAGTGGATCTGTTCGACTCAGGTTCGACTCAAGTTCGACTCAGGTTCGACACGGATTCGACTCAGGTTCGACTCAGGTTCGACTCAGCTTCGACGCAGGTTCTACTCAGGTTCGACGCAGCTTCGACGCACAAGTGGTGCGAGTGGCTCCAGGAAGGTCCCCAGAATGAGCATCTAAGACATCGAAGAAGTTGGGCCTGTGTTCCACCACCGCCACCAGGAGTTGGAGGGGGGAGGGGGTCCTCCTCCTCCTCTTTCTCCTCCTCCTCCTCCTCCTGCTCTTCCTCCACCTCCTCCTCCTCCTCCTGCTCTTCCTCCTCCTCCTCCTCCTCCTCCTCCTCCTCCTGCTCTTCCTCCTCCTCCTCCTCCTCCTCCTCCTCTTCCTCCTCTTCCTCCTTCACCTCCTCCTCCTCCTCCTCTTCCTCCTCCTCCTTCTCTTCCTCTTCCTCTTCTTCCTCCTCCTCCTCCACCTCCTTCCCCCCGCCCAACTGATGGTGGCAGTGGTGGAAAACAGGCCCATCAGAAGAAGAGAAAGCGCCATAAACATAGACTTTTGGCGCTCCTCGCGGATTTCTTGGATCCGCGCTGGGCCCCCCCCCCCCCCCCCCGGGCGGCGCCTCTGGCGCCGCCCCTAAGGAATCCGCGCGGAGCGCCAAAAGTTTGTCTTTAGCGTTTTTTTTCGTCATCCAGGAGAGCCAGCCTACCATCCCAACGTTTAATTCCCAAAGCACATCTCTTCGTCGCTTTCGCCCTTCTCGAAGCCAGCGCGCAGGAGGGGGGGCGGCCCTGTGTCCCAATCCCAACCAGGCCTGAGCGTCCACTGGCAAGTCATAAGACAGCATGTGAACACGAGGTTCGTGTCGCCGAGTCCCCACGCAGCGCTTGTACTGAGGGTTCTCGCTTGTTTCGGCAGGAGTTAGAAGCCATGGTTGCGATGTTTGTGTTGTTGTCCTGCTGGTCTATGGGTGGTAGTCTGTGGCCGGTGCCCACTCATGCCGTTGGTGTTTGCGATGTCAGCGTTGTGGCTTTGGAGTTACGGCGGGGGCGTCTGTTAAGGTCTATCCTGGGCTTCCCTTGGGTCGCCTTGCGGCGTTCTTGGGGGTGTCTGTCGTCTGGGGAGCTTGTGGGGATCTTGATTGGACTCCTTAGGCTTCTCTTCAGCTCCTCTTTTGACACCTCATGCAGCGGAGTCCTGGGAAACTGAACAACCCAAAGTCTGTCTTCAAAATTATCTTGATCTTCCTAAAAGACCTTCCTAGGATTTCACACAAGGTGTCTCGGGAGACCTCTAGGACTCCATCTGGCGGCTCGGTCGGGATTTGAGACAGCTGGGGTGCGCTTGAGGCGATGTGGGGCCGTCTTGGGCACCTTTCAAAGCTCCTGCGAGGCTGTGCTGGAAGCCGTCAGACCCCTTCGGGAGCACCGAGGGAGGAGGCGTCGGGCCGCCAAGGGAGCCTCGGGAGAGAGCGCGGCGGTGCATGCAGCGAGGCGTCGGGAGCGTGAGCGGGGCCCCCTTTTGCAAGACTTTCGGAAACCCTGCCAGGCAGCACTGAGCATACATGAGACCGTGGGTGATGGGCATTCTTTCCACCTCCGCCATAAGTTGGAGGGGGGAAAGAGGAGGAGGAGGAGGAGGAGGAGGAGGAGGAGGAGGAGGAGGAGGAGGAGGAGGTGGAGGAGGAGGAGGAGGAGGAGGTGTAGGAGGAGGAGGAGGAGGAACACTTCCCTCTCCAACTCATGGTGGTGGTGGTGGTGGTGGTGGAAAACAGGCCCAGCAGTCGGACCGAGGTATAGCATCGAAGTCGGTTCGTGGAGGGTACCCTGGTGTTCGCCGTGTGTGTGGGATGTCCTTGTGCATCCTGGGGGGGTACCCCTGGATGTCCTGTGCAGTTTGGCCGGTGGGGGTTCTAGTGTTCTTGAGGGTGCTCTTCTGTCCTGGGTTCGATTGTACCACGCCTCATCGACCCAGGGGGCACAGTGGCGGATTGTCCATGTGCCTTGTGCGTGGTATCGCTCGGACATGTGCATTTTTCCCTTGCTGAAATATACGCACAGGGCCGAGAAATGCACGAGGAGCGATCGATCGCAGGTATGGGTGGATCAACGGCCTGTTCCCTGTGGTGCTTTTGAATGATGCGTTAGTCCTTGCGCCATTGTCGTACGGGTGGTGCTCCATGATAGGTGCACGGTGGTGATTGAAGATGCGTCTTGCGAGTTCCTCGGTCTTGCCCCTGATGCTGTACAGTGGAAATACATGCCAAGAAACACCCTGCTTGCCTCCAGGGTGTCCTGGGGTTCTTGGGTTTCGATGGGTTTGCTATGGAAGCCGTGACGTTCCCACACCAAAAACCAATGGACGTCCTGGGGTCTCAGGGTTGGGTTTCTCGTGGACGGTTTCTTGTGGGTGCCCTGTGGCTGTTTTAGCAGTGTGACTTCGGTGGTTGGGATGTTCGCGCTCTGGCGCCGGTGCCCTCGTGCTGGGTGGCGCGGGGCGCAAATGGTCAGCCACTGGGGCCTTCGGTGGAGCTCCCTGTGGGGCCACGCAGCGCCTTACTGGTTGGCGCGGGACGCATGTGGGGCGTTCCCAAAAGGGACTTGCCCAGCAAGGGTCGAAGGAGTTATCATCTCTTCCTCGGCGGAGGGCGGTAGACGGGCGGCGGAAGGTCGGCGGAAGTAAAACGAGGGCGGAAGGCTGGCGGAAGGCGGCGGAAGTGGGGTAGCGGCCTCTCCATCAGTTCCTGCACGCGCACCCGTCATTGGGCCCTCCGTTCGGAATACAAGTTTTCGAACGCGCCGATTTCGGTTGGTTTTCCCTTAGGCCCCTCACGAAGAGTCATTTCCTGGAGGTTCCTGGGCGCAGTTGTTGAAAAAAGGAAGGCTGGCGGAAGGCGGCGGAAGTAAAAGATGTGCCCCCAAGAGATGAAAACGTTTTTGGGTTCAGGGCTTCCGAGATCGCCCATGTGATCACAGCCGTTGCCTCCAGTGGAGTTCCCGCTGGGACACAATGCGCCGTGCTGGGTGGCGCGGGGCGCATGTGATCACAGCCACTGGGGCCTCTGGTGGAGCTCCCAATGGGGCCACGATTCGCCGTGCTGGGTGGCGCGGGGCGCATGTAATCACAGCCACTGTGGCCTTCGGTGGAGCTCCCTTTGGGGCCACGCAGCGCCGTAATGGGTTACGTTGGGCGCGTGTGATCACAGCCATTGGGGCCTCCGGTGGAACTCCCTAGGGGCAACGAAACGCCGCATTGCAGTACGGCGTTTCGTTGCACAGGGTTGCAACCCATGGGTTGCACGGGACGCATGTGTTCACAGCCGTTGGAGCCTCCGGTGGAGCTCCACATGGGGCAACGAAACGCCGTACTGGGTGGCGCGGGACGCATGTGATCACAGCCACTGGGGCCTTCGGCAGAGCTCCATATGGGGCAACGCAACGCCGTACTGTGTGGCGCGGAACGCATGTGATCACAGCCGCTGGGGCCTTCGGTGGATCTCCTGATGGGGCCACGGTTCGCCGTTCTGGGTGCGCGAAATGGTGGACATGCGGAGGGCAGAGGCAAGGGAGGGAAGAGGGGGTGGTGGAGGGAGGAGAGAGTAGAGGAGAGGAGAGGAGAGGAGACGAGACGAGACGAGAGGAGCGGAGCGGAGAGGAGAGGAGAGGAGAGGAAAGGAGAAGAGGAGACGCGGAGCGCTGTCTCTCCAAAACGAGGAACCCACACCACAGGCTGGGTGGGAAGTCTTGAACAAGAGCCCAGATCGAGTTCTCCACCCTGCGAGGGGGCCTGGGAATCGCGCAGCATGTGATCCGCGGGGCCGGCGATGCCTTCTGTGAAGGCCATGCGCTCCTGTGCAGGTCACAGTCCTTGGCATCGCTCGGACGTGTGCATTTTTCCTTCGGCGAGGACCATCGAGGAGCATCCTTGATCGTTTCGCGAAAAAACCACGCACGAAACCGAAAAAAACACAGGAA